AAAAAAAAAAAAAAAAAAAAAAAAAAAAAAAAAACTCGTCTAAGCTGTTCTCCATCGTAAATAAGTCATGGAAACCTCGGAACGTCAGAGTTGTTATCAATCGTCCCTCCTCGTTTTTGTCACTGAAACACCTTGCTCTCCGGCCGTCTCGCAAGAATGGAACAATCGTCGTCAATCATCGTCCACCACCATTCAATCCCATCAAAATCGTCGGCGATCGGGATGTCAATGTCAACACCCTTGGATATTAATGATCTCGACGTGTCATGTGGGAACGCTACAGCCATTTGTTTCGCACCACGCCGGAGAGCCTGCGTCCCCACATAAGGTTATATCATACGATCGTCCCCTGTATGTACTGTGGATCCTGTGTGCCGCCTTGGATCTGCGGCGACTGCGAGCCGAGCGGGCCCTGAAGATTCGGTGGATCGTACAGTCCGCCGAGAGATCCACCAAGGCCGGGATCTATGTTCGCCCCTCCAAGAGAGGCGGTCAATTCCGGCATGGAGGGCAGGCCAACGTCCAGGATCCCCGTGTTGGTGGCCACGCCAGTTTGCGAGCCTTCCTCCGGCGGTGTTACTTCCAGACCGATGGATCCGTTCAACGCAATCTTGATCGGGTTGTGGTTCGACGGGTGCGACAGCGCACCCAGGCCAATGTCCTCCAGGCTGCTCTTCCTTCTGCTGATCGTCAGCCCCTGCCTCAGCGAGTTGCTGCGCCTCAGTAGAATGTCGTCGACCACTCGCAGAGAGTTGGAACGGCCGCGCAGAGTGCCAGCCACCGTTGGACTGTCTGGCAGAGACAGGGAATTCGACTTGGTGGTGCTGAGAGGTGGTGCTCTGGGCAGGCCGATGCCCGATCCTCGACGACTTCCTGTGCCAGCTCCTGGCAGGCCGGCCGAGGCCACCGCCGCGCTCATTTGGGACACCAGCTGGGCCGAGCAGAAGCTGATGTTGCTCTTTCGCCTCGAGTTGTGCCGCTCGAACGTCTTCTGCGCGGAGAACGGGCTGGGCCGGACCAGGTACACGATGTCGCCCTCCTCGAGCTTCAGATCGCAGCTGGGATTGATGATCACGTAGGAGAGGCTGTTACGCTTCTCGGAGACGTCGTCGTAGTCGGCCACCGGCAGGTTCAACGACTCCATCCGGGAACGCACCAGGTTTGCGATCTCTGCCCTCTCGATCTGCTGGGCGTGGTTGTCGCGCGCTTCGTCGCCGAGGCTTACCGAGTACTGTTCCGAGAAAGAGAAAAAAACACACCAGCGGTTTTTAGTCGCGAAGTGAGTTAGGAGCGGTTGGTTCGTTTGAAACGGACGAGTGACATACTTTAGTTAGCGCTCTTTTTGGATAGACCGTTGATTGATAAATTGCCGGCGACGTAGGTAATTTTGTTTAGCATTTATTATTTATGTACACAATCACGGAGATGGGAAGAGCAGTTGAATTTTTCCTTTTTCCTTATTACAAAGTTTTCTGCATTTTAAAAATGTGTAAAAATCTTCTAAGAATCGAAGAACCGGCAAAGAACTTTCATCTTTCAGCAACAACGTTCATCAATCATCGTCTATCGAACGTCAAAAAACGATCGAATTGTTGAAACAATTAAAAA